CTCCTCCTCCTCCTCCTCCTCCCTGACCTCCCTGGGCGGGCCTCGACATGACCCTGCCGAACCCCGGGCTCAGCAGCACCCGGCCCAGCACCGAGAGGGCCTGCCTCTTCAGGGCGTAGTCCTCGGCCTCATAGGGGGGGGCGGCCGACCGCCGAGCTCGCACGCCGCCGCACCGACGGAGCCGACCTCCCCACGGCCCTCCCCCAGCAGGCAAGCGCGATCCACTACTGGCACAGCAACTCCTTGCAAAGAGCCTGGATCCGCCGAGGGGGCCGTTTGCAAGTAGGCACTTTGCGAGTAGTGGACCGCGCTCGGTGACCCAGAGCAGAAGCAGGGGAACGAATCATGGCATTCACATAACAACTCCGAGGTCCGCGCGGATTTCTCGGATCCGCGCTGGACCCCCCTGGCGTCGCCTCTGGCGCTCTGGCGCCGCCCCTGGCGCGCTCAGCGCGCCAGGGAGGGGATCCAGCGCCCATCCGAGAAATCCGAGCGGACCTCCGAGATGTTGTCTATGTCATCCATCGCTCCCCTAAAAAGAGCACACACACACACACACCGGGCCCCCCCTTCCGCAGCGTGGGAGGGCCAGGTGGCCACGTGGGGGTGGGGGGATGCACATCCCGTGCCCTTGGCGCTGGCCGTCCTCACACTCGGGGGCCGAAGCTCCGCGGCCCAGCCCCAGAGGTGGGAGGCGGGCCCGGCGTGGGGGGAGGCGCGCTCTCTTCCCTAACCCCCGTCCCCCTTCAATCTCTTAGGGGGGTCGCTACTCGAGAAGGCCAGCATCATTCATTTCACCACGGGTTTGGGCTACATGCTGGCCTCCTGGGGGGGGGCTTAGTTGGAACCTCCCCCTTCATTGATCGAGTTCTTCCAAGATGGCCCAAAGACGGCCCCCGAGGCTCTCGATGGTGCCCCAAGAGGCCCAAAGGTCCCAGGAGGTACCCGGGAGGCCCCAAGAGGCCTCCGAGAGGCCGCCAAGATGCCCCCAAGATGACCCCAAGAGGCTCCCAAGAGACCCCCACGACGCCCCACGAGGCCGCGGTGAAGGCCGACCTGATCTATTGTGCCGAGATGTTGGCTATAAGTTGGCCTCTTGGAGGAGGGACCCGAATTCAGGAGCCCTCATCCTTTGATCGATCGCCTCCAAAATGGCCCCAATGTAATACCCGAGGCTCTCAAAGGTGGCGCAAGGCGGCTCCAAGAGGTTCCCAGGAGGCCACAAGAAGCCCCCCCTAAAAGGCTCCAAATATGCCCAAAAGAGGCTCCCAAGAGACCTCGAAGAGACTCCCAGGAGACCTCTACGAAACCTCAAGAGGCCCCCAAAGAGGCACCACGACGCTCCTTGAGGCCTTGGCGAGAATGCCAGCATCAGTGACTTCACTCACGTTTTGGCGAGGGTTGGTCTCCTGGGAGAATGGGCAAATTTACTACGGCCTCTCTTTCGATCGATCTCCTCCAGGATGGCCTAAAGATGGGCCCCGATGCTCCCAAGCGTGCCTCAAGAGGGCCCCCAAGTGGTGCCCAGGAGGCCTCAACATGCCCTAAAGAAGTACCCCATATGCTGCCAAGAGGCTCCTATGACACTCCCAAGAGACCCCAAGAGGCCCGAACAGGCGCCCTCCACAAGAAGCCTCCAAGATACATCGGAAGAAACTCTGAGAGGCATCGAAGTAGCCTCTGGCCTTTTCTGCTCGCCCCCTTCCTGCTCCGACAGGCTACTCCTTCTCCTCCTTTTCCTCCTCCCTCTGCCTCTCCCTCCTGCCTCCTCCCTCCTCCCCCCCCTCCCCCTCCTCCTCTGGTTCATCCTCCATCCTCCCCCTCTTAGGGGACGACGGCTTCCCCAGCCCTTTCTTCCACTGCGTGCTCCCCCACATGCCTGATCAAGGCAGCTCGCCTGAGCATCGGTCCTGGATGGGCCGTTGGGGGTGCGACACTGGATGTCTGGGCCAATCCACCCATACTGCTGCTCCTCCTCCTGCTCGTCGTTCGCCGTGCTCGTCGTCACTGGTCCTTCTCCTCGTGATTATTGACCCTCCTCCTGCTCCTCCCGATCCTCCTCATCCCCCTTGCTCCCTGCCTCGTACGAACCTGGCTTGCGTCGTCCAACTCAGCCAATGCTTCTTTTGGTTGTGCTTGCCGGTGCCTGCGGATGGCCACGTCGAGACACTGTGCTAGACTTCTCTAGGGAGAGAAGGGGTGGTTGAAGGCCCGCGGGGGGAGCATCCATCTCCCATCTTCCTCCTCGTGCCCCTGCCTCCCTTCCTTCCCCCTCGTTCCCCTCCTTCCCATCCGTCCCCCTCCTCCTCACCCTCTCCTCCCTCGTGGGTGATGTCTCTCCCCCTCCCGCCCCACCGCACCCCACCCCACCCACACGCACACACGCGCACACGAACACACGCACACACGCACACACGCACACACTCACAACAGGATGTGAGGGCCAGACCACTCACTACGACGGCTACCCACCACACACTCCACACTCCACACACACGCACACACGCACACCGCATCACGCACAAAACGCACACCGCCACACACACACATACACACATACACACACACACACACGCGCACGCACGCACGCACGCACGCACGCACGGCACACAAACCACACATACACACACACACAACACCGACCGCAAGAACACACGCACACACCCACGCAACACACACAAACACACACGTCACACACACACACACACACATACGCACACTACACACCGGCACAACACACACACACACGCGCAACAACAACCTACATCACAACCGCGGGACAACCACACAACCCTACACTACACAACACAAACACCACGCACACGTTCGCATATCCTGCGCTGCGACCGTCTAGATGCATGTCCCGCCCAAGCTCGCTCGACCCTTCCCTAAGACGACGTCACTCCCCCCTCGCCCCCCCCCCCCCCCTCGGCGGAACTGGTCTTACAAATTCGAGTGCTCCCGCTTCCAGCTCCCGTCCTTCCCTTGTTCGGAGGAGGGGGTTACCCCTGCCCCCACTCCCTCCCTTGGGTCTGGACAGGCGGCTGGCCGCGACCGTGTGAAGTCTCCAAGATTGCTCAGGATGGCTCCAAGAGACCTCTATATGCTCCAAGATTGCTTGCACGACTGCTCAAGATGACCAACGATGCTTCAAGATAGCTCAGGCACACCTCCAAGATGCCCAAACACAATCCCAAGACGGCTGCAGGTGGCAGTGGAGCCTCCCAAGGAGTCACCCCGAGAGGACAACATCCTGCCAAATCCTGAGGGCAATCCATGGCTTGTGCCTTCTTGTCGTTTCGCTTCTGGTGGGCTTGCCAGTCCTCAACATGGCCCCAAGAGGGCTCTACGAGCCCACGTATCGGGCTCCGATGGGGGGGGCCCGAATGTCCAACTTCTCCATGCTTGGCTCATGTGCCCAAATGCAGCTCTGAGCCGTGCAGCGCATGGCGGGACGCGACGCTTCGAAAGAGCAAGCTTAAAACTTCAGCCTTGAGCTTGATCTTCGGAGTGCCGCTGTGTCGCTGCTAGAGCTTGAGCGTATGATCCTTCGTGCGAGTGGGATGTGGTTTCAGGAGGTCCAAGGAGGTGCGAAGCGCGCAGCGCCCTACCACGACGACGGCAACGCAATGCATGCGCTGCACTGCAAGTGCCTTGCATTGCAAATGCGGTCTGCTTCGGGGTGTCGCTGTTTCGCTGCCAGGCTACCCCTTTCGGTCCGCACCAAGAGTCACCTGGAGGAGGAGGAGGAGGAGGAGGAGGAGGACGAGGAGGAGAAGGAGAAGAAGGAAGAGGAGGAGGCCGAGGTTCAACGTGCGAGCCGAGTGTGGTTTGAGGAGGCCCACGGAGGCGCGAAGCGCGCAGCGCTAATCACGACGACGACAACAGTACCATGAGGTGTGCGGCGGCCGGGGTGCTTGCCGCCGTGGCCGCTGCTGCCCCTGCCGCCTGCCTTCCCTCGCAACCCCCCCCTTGTCCTCCTGGTTCTCCTCCTCCTGGTTCTCCTCCTCCTGGCGTTCCCCCTCCTCCGGCTCCTCTTCCGCCTTTTCCTCCTTTTCCTCCTCCTCCCCTCCGCCTCCTCCTCCTCGTCGTCGTCGGTCATTTCCTCGCCTGCCGCTGGGCCCCTCCGCGATGGTAAAAGAACAGTGCGAGGCAACTGTTTGTGCATTGCCAGTTATGTTTGCACTACTAGAGCTTGAGCTTGTTATTCTTATTCCGCGGGCGAGCCGAATGTGGTTTGAGGACGTCCAGAGGGGTACGAACCCGCAGCGCCAACCACGACGACGACAATTGGCTTGCACTGTATAGGGTGCTCCATTGCAGCTGTTGTTTGCAATGCCATGACGGTCTGCTTGAGCTTGCGATTCCGCGTGCAAGCCGAATGTGGTAGGAGGCGGCCCAGGGAGGTGCGAAACGCGCAGCGCCAACCACGACGACCACAGCAAAACAGCTTGTGTTGCATAGGAATTGTATTGTGCACTACAATGATTTGCATTGCAGGTAGTCTGCTTCGGGGTGATGCTGTTTCGCTGCGAGAGCTTGAACATATGCTTATGATTTCTCGTGCGAGCCGAATGTGGTTTGAGGAGACCAAAGGGACCAAGGGAAGTGCGAAGCGCCAGACACGACGACCACACCATAACAGTCGTTCAGCATTGCAGTTGAGCTTGCCTGGCATAGTTTTGCAGTGCAGTTCTGGTCTGATTAGCGAAGATCTCCACGGCCTGGTCTGCACTCGGGTGGCCTGGACGGCTGCCTGATCAGGCTTGACTTGCTGGTCTTGCTGGCCTGCCTGATTCAAATGAAATTCATCTCATGTGTTTTTCTAGCGCCGCTTGTATGCATTGCAGTCTTGATCTGGTTCATCTCGTTGGTCTGCTTAGTTGGGTTTGAACTTCGCTGGTCTGGATGGCTGATGGCTGTCTAGTTTGGCTGGTCTGGTTGGTCAACTTCGCTTTTGGTCTGGCTGGTCCTGTTGGTTGGTCTGGTTTGTTGCATAGCATGTGTTGCAATGCACTCAACCTTGGCTGATGTGAGTTGTCTAGTTGATCTGCTTAGTATCGCCTGGGCTTGGCTAGTCTCGATGGCTGGCTCGTCTGGTTGGTTATGGTCGGTCTGGCCTCGCTAACTTGCCTGGCTGGCTGGTCGGGTTGGTCTACCTGGCTGATTTGACTTGCTACTCTGGATGGTCTGCCCGGTCCAAGTTTTCCGTCGCATTCTGTTATTGCAGTGAAGTTGGTGTTTGGAATGCAGTCGTAGTGTGGTTGATGTGGTTGGTCTGATTGATCTGCTTATGATGGTCTGGGCTTGGCTGGTCTAGCTGTCGAGGTTCCTAGTTCGTCCGATTTGTGTGGATAAACTGCTCTATCGCGCAGCGCAGCGCACAGCGTACAATTGTATCATCTCTTGATTGTTGATCAATATTTCCTACCTCGGCCGGTTTGACTTGCTCGTCTTGCTGTTCTGCCTGATACGCTTTATTGCACAACAAGTATTTATGCACCGCAACTTTTTCCTTTGCAAAGCAACTTTAGCCTGGCTGGTGCGGCTATTCTTGCTTGATCTGCACAGTCCGGCTTAATGGGCGGATACTTTCTCTGTCTGATGTGTCTGATCTGCGTTACTAATCTAGATGGCTCGCTGGTCCAGTTGGTCTGCTAGGTCAGGTCTGGCTGATTCGTCTGGCTATCTGGTCTGGTTGATCTAATTTCTCTACTTGGCTGGTTTGAACCGCTAGTCTGGAGGGTCTGCTCGGTCCACGTGTCTTCGTTGCGATGTTTTTTGCATTGCAGGCTTCTGCAATGTAAGTTGGGTCTGGTTGGTGAGATTGGTCTGTTTGATCTCCCGACTCTGGTGCGGTAGATTGCTTTATGGTCTGTTTGGTCTGGTTGGTCTGCTCGAACACGCAGCGCAGCACGCAGCGCACAGCGTGAAGTGTCTTTGCATTATCTCTTGTTTGTCGCTCCGTTCGGTGATCTTCAGAACGTGTGTCAGCACCGAAATCTGCTCGTCCACTGGCGGCCTTCAATACGACGCAGGCGGTGTCATGATGGCCGGCACAGGCCGACCATGGTGCACACACACACACATTGGGCGAACACACGTTCCGAGGATCATCGGACCATCAGTTCCCACCCCTTTCTTTCTCGCTTTATTCGGCGGCTGGTTGGCCCAATTCGTCTGGCCAGTCTTGGTTGGTCTGGTCTGATCGGGTATGGTCGGCTCTAATCTGTTCTGCTTGGTCGAATAGTTCAGATGGTTTCTGGTTGGTCTGGTCTGGTGCGTCCGACTGGTTCGGTTGGTCCGGCTCAGTGTGCTTTGTTGGTCTAGTTCGTCTGGCCGATCCGCTTGGCATGCTGGTTTGTGATGGCTGTTCCCATATCTGGTTGGTCTGGTTGAATGGTCTGCTTGGTCTGGCGTGGTTGCTCCACTGAGTCTGGTTGGTCCAATGGTCTGGTCCTGTCGGGTCCGATCTCGGCTTGTTGGTCTCATCTGTGTGGTCGCGCAGTTTCTTCCTCTTGTCTGGCTAGCTCGGTTGTCTGGGTGTGTTGGGTTCGCTTGGGTAGGTGTGGTCTGGTCTAATTTGGTCGGTCGAAAAATTAATCCGTTGCTTGGTCTGGACCGGCTGGTTGGTCTTGGTTGGTTGATTCGATTAGCTACTGCACTTGGTCTGTCTAGTGTGGTGATTTGGCTGGTCCAACTAGTTTGGCTGGCTTTGCCTGGTCTGCCTGCTGCGCAGGACCTCCACGCGGACGAGGAGTAGCAGCAGGAGCAACAACAAGAACAACAACAAGGGCGAAAGCATGGCCGGCATCACGGCTCACAGGAGAAGCTATCGGAGGGTATCGGGGGAGGAGGGGGAGGTGAGAATCTACGTCAGCAGTGATATCAGTTCTGCCCCAAAACACAATTCGGCGCTGGGGCCTACGAACTTGTCGCTTCTGGCAGCTTGGAATCTCGCCCCAACACGGCGACACGACCCCCCAGAAAAAGACCACGAGAGCCGCAAGTCCTCCCAGAGGAGCCCCAAGAGGGCCCAGAGAGGCCCCAAGAGGGCCTAAATGTCTCAAGCGTCCTCCAATATACTTCACAGCAACACATGTAAGAGCCTCCTCCTCCCACTCCTCCTCCTCCCCTTCCTCCTCCTCCTCCTCCTCCTCCTCCTTCTCCTCCTCCGCCTCCTCCTCCTTCTTGTCTTCCTCCTCCCCTTCCTTCCTGCTACCACTTCCTCCACTCCCTCCGCCTGCTATTTGCTGTCTCTCCTCCTCCTCCTCCTCCTCCTCCTCCTCCTCCTCCTCCTCCTCCTCCTCCTCCTCCTCCTCTTCCTCATGCCTCCTTATTATCCCCCCACTCTTACCAAATTTGCTAAATGCAACTTGGGAATGCCTGGGCATCGGTTCCGGAAGGAACGGACGCGATGCTGGACTGGCTCGCCATAGTGGGTAGGATTCGGTGTCCCACAGATGCTTCATGGATGGTTGATGCACTACGTGATTCCACGCGAACCTGATCTAAGCAACTCGCCTAGCGATGGTGTCTGGCTGGGCTGGTGGTAATACGCGAAGCATCAAGTAGTTTCATCCCGAACTGATGTTTGACGGTTCCAGAGTTCGAAGCCAGCCTCCAGAGGCCCAAAGTGTTGACAGACCAATCGCCTAGGTCTTATTCGAGGCGCTGCATGTCTGGGCATCCTGTCGCCCTATGGTCTCGTGGATGACGTAGGAGCTTGCAGCGGCAAAACATGCCAGAACTGGGCCGCTGTCCAGCGAGGCGGAGACGAAAACACACGGTCGGCAACCATTACACTACTTTCGGGGGCGCGCAAACATGGGTTAGCGACCCATGGCTTTGGCGCGCGGTCGCCAAATCCATGGATCGGGGGAGGTGGCCTCCCCCAAATGCGGCCGGTGCAGCCTCGTTCGGAAGCAGAAATCCGCGATTTCCTGTGGAAAAAGGGACCCGTCGTTAATACACGCCCCCATTGATCCCATGTGTGCGATCGCCTGATGCTTGACCAAGTGCCTTGACGCCCGGCGAACTGGCAGAATTATCCCCCCTCCTGCCCTGACCTCCCCACGCCCTCAAAAAGGCACAACGGAAGATGTCGGGCAACTTTCGGCCCCCCGGGGGGGCCTTCACGGGGCTGTGAGCACAGCGAGTCGGGATGAAGAGGCTGGTCCTAGGGGAGGGGGTCCAAACGTATGGCAAGCCGCGCCGTGAAAAAAAACACGACGTCGGATGCATGGGTCGATCCTTCTGTAAGCATCGGCATCCTCGGTAATCACCTGTAAACATTTTGCCCTCATCGGCATCCTCCTGTAAGGCCACGCCCCTCTTGAAGCGAGCGGCGCAGCGGGGTGTCCTGTAAGAGGTCGTTGAAGACGGTGAAGATTTCGTGGAACTTGTCAAGCAAATACGCTGAGAGACCATTTTTAGATCCCACCCACATGCTGAATGGGGTCCTGGTGCATACACCGATATACCGTACGCATACCGATGCACGTGCACATAGATACACCACACACATACACGTATACATACACCAGAGGAGTGCGCAGGTGCGTGGTAAGGGGTGCAGAGGTGCGGTCTGCATCCATTTCACGCTGCCGTGGCATGGGTGGCACTTCCTCGCCACCAGAGGGGGTGCACACGGGATGCGGTCTCTATGCGTCCCACTGTCCAGGGCGTGGCTGGAGTGGCACTTCCTCGCCACCAGAGAGGGGGTGCGCACCGAGTGGGGTAACCATGCGCTCCACGCTCCCATCATGGGCATGTGCGGTGGCTCCTCGTCTCGTATTCCCGACGGCGTCGCTGGGCTGGCCTGGGCATGCCCGAGTCGGGCAGCGTAAGACACCAGACACGAGAAGTCTGCTGAGCACGTGGGGCCCTTCGGCAGCGTAATTCTGAGGGGACTCTGGGACACGCAAATAAATACACACTAATACAAGGATTCCCAATATGTTCTCATATTTTTTGAGGTTTTGTCTTCCCCCCACTTCCCATATTTTCCTGGGAGTGGACGATTAATCGTGTCTGTGTGTTTTTTCCCCTCCTGAAATTCTCGCGGACGCCACCGGCCGGCGCCTCGGAAAACTCGAGTCGAGGCGGCCACCTCTCTTGTCATCCCGTGGGCGCCCAAGAAGGTAGCGTCCAGAAGGGGGTGGGGTCGCAAATCTGGGGGGTCAGGGGACTTGTTGAGAGAGAGGGGGGCCATGAAATCCACACACACACACACCGGTCATTACACTCTTCGACGCCTGGTGGTTTTCGGGCCATAACTCGCGCCTCCTGCGCCGTTGGGGACGATCCGCACACCCGCGGAAAGCCTGAGCCGGCCGTCGACGAGGCACAGCTGCTGGAACGCACCCCGAGGCTGGGAAACCGCCAGACGAGAACGTCCGAAAACCTCGAGAGGAGGAGTGGGTAGGAGGAGCACGGGGTAGGAGAAGGAGGAGGAGGGGTAGGAGAAGGAGGAGGAGGAGGAGGGGGAGGAGGAGGCGGAGGCGGAGGAGGAGGCGGAGGCGGAGGCGGAGGAGGAGGAGGAGAAGGAGGAGGACGGAGAGGCCCTGGGCAGAGTCCCCCGAACTCAGGAACGGCGGTCTCGCTCGAGAAGTCTTCGCAATTCAGTCACTTTGGTGGAGGTCCAACTGCGACGACAAGGGCTCCCGCTCGATGCCCCCTCACGATCTACTCCGAGATGTGCTGGGCAGAGGGGCCCGGAATCCAGAAACAGCGCTCTTGCTGGAGACTTCCTCGTAATTCAGTCGAGTTGGTGGAGGCCCAGCCACAATGACAAGGGCTTTGGCTCGATGCCTCCTCACGGTTTACACCGAGAGGCCCCCCGAACTCGGGAACAGCGCTCTGGTCAGCGCATCGTGGCCCGCGGCACGTGCGCGCTCGAGGGGGTGGGCACGGGGAAGCATGGAAAGAAGACGAGGGGGCCACGATTCTTCCCCCCGTCTTGGATTCTTGGACGCCCCTTGTGACGGGGGATGTTGGCAAGGAGATCTGAACAAATACAACGCACACCTCCCCCGAACGACGAAAACGAGGGCCAGCCAGAAGCGACGTCGAATCGGATCGATCGGATCGACGTCGACCCTGCATTCCCCCCTCCTCTTCCCTGTTGCCTCCCCCCTCCCTGTCCTCCATTCTCACTCCTTCTGCCCCTTTCGGGGATTTTCGGATCCGGGTCAACCCAGACCCGGGTCAGTCAGGCCTTGCAAAATCCTGCAAGATCCTGCACCCAAACCCGGGTCAATGCGAAAGATCCTGCAAAATCCTGCAGGATCCTGCACCCAAACCCGGGTCAATGCGACCCTGCCCCTGCAGGATCCTGCAAGAACGGGCGCTCTGGCTGACCCCCGCTTGCATTGACCCCCGTGTCAAGGATCCCGACCCTTTCCACCCTGCCCCATCCGGTTGCGCCAATCTCCAAAATTCCTGTAACTTTCAGCAGCGGGCCAACCACAAGCCGTTTGGGCCCGCAGAGGAGGGCACACTGGGAGGCACGAGGGGTGGGAACTCCTCACCCCTCCTTCCCCACCGCCTCTCTCCGCCTCATTTCCCCCCTCCTCTTTGGACGCCCGAAATGGGTACGGAAAGAATGGGTACAATGCCCAACAGCAAATGTTGTCCCAAACCAACAGCGGCCGCTGTTGGGCAGGCGGCCTTCTGTTTCAAATGGGCACAGGCCGCGGCGAGACCGACCGCGAGTCCAGTTCAAAATGAACAAAAACTTTGGGCATTGTACTCATTCTTTCCGAACCCATTTCGTTCGTGCCGATTCTCACCCCCCCCCCTCCTTCCCTCACGCTTCAGCAGTCTATCTGAGTGTGGCCACCAAGCCCAAGAGACACCGAAGACACCTCGGGCCTCTGGTGACTGCAAGATGACCGCACAGAAAAGCGAACAAGACGCACGGGGGGGCGTACTGAACACACCATTCCCTGCCGCTGGAAAAGACATCTGGAGCGGACCTGGTTTGTTCACCCACTTCATGCGTGAATCGGGGAATTGAGTTCCCTCCCGGGAGCACTGGAGCCTGCACCTTGTCGGGCCGGGCGAAGGGGGGGATAACAGAGGGGGGGTTTGAGAATCAGCTCACGCAGCTGATTTTCCCGGCGACTCCCGGCGCTGGGAGGCGCCCGCGTGTCGAGGAGTGGGTCCGGCGGCGGGGCCGAAACCAGCTGCATGCGGCAGACTTCGCATCCCCCCCCCCCTTGGCCCCGTCCCCCCCCCTTTTGCCCCATCCCCCACCTTCGTTCGGCCCGAACCTTGGCCGACCCCTCGCGACTCCGGGAACTCTCCCCGCTTTGCGGGCCGCCGCCGCGGCTCGCAACCCGGGGAAGAACGCCCCACGCCTCCGCGCCCGCGCCGCACCCGGCCGCCCTCGCGCTGCCAGGCGCCGTGGAGGAGGAGGAGGAGGAGGAGGAGGAGGAGGAGGAGGAGGAGGAGGAGGAGGAGGAGGACGAGGAAAGGGTGGGAGGAGGATGAAGGAGATGGGATCTGCGCCCGCAGAATCCAGGTCCAAACGCGGGCCCTCGGAAGGCAGCCGGGAGGAGAGGGCGGGCGCGAGAGCGATCGGAGAGCAGGAGGGCGCCTCAAGCCAGATCGGGGCCTGGGAGTCCCCCGCAACAGCGGGGCGCTCGGCTGCTGAAGCAGGGAGGCGTCTCCAGTCGGAGTGGGGGCCTGGGAGTCCCCAGCAACACCTGTTTTGACTGTCTGCTGCCTGATGCTCGCGTGCCATGCAGCAGCATCTCCCAAACCCTCGATACCCGCCCTCTTCGTCTCTGATCGCACCCGCCTCTCCTACCCCCTTTTGTCCCTGGCACGCATTATTGGCGCAGCGCGTAAAACAGGAAGAAGAGAAGTATGGAGAAGGGGGGAGGCGAGGAGGAAGAGAACAGGCAAGACGGAGGGGAGGGAGGGAGATTATTATGGAGGACGAAAGGAATTAGCAAGAGGGATCAGCAGTGAGCAAGGGGAGACGGCAGGGAAATCTCAGGCGAGAGCGCGGTTCCTGAGAAAATTGCGAGATGTCCCGAGCGAGAGCGCGATTTCAGAGCGCGGACACAACGATTCGCAATAAAGCGTGAGGACGTCTCAGGCGAGAGCGCGATTCCAGAATAACATGTTAAGGATCCTAAACGAAAACCGCATGTCTCCATACATTGTGAGAAAGTATCCGGCGGGAGCCGTTATTATGGCACATCAGGGGGCAAAGACACAATCTGAGGTCCAAGACTTTCCCTTACTTAAGGAAAAAAACACAGGGTGCGAGCCCCGGGAAGGGCACTTCAATGAAACAAAAACTGAATGGGGACTGGAGGGGGGAGGCATCCGAAACATGCACGGAACTTCAAGAAGTGATAACTCTACCAAGCTTCCAGTGAGAGACCTGGGCTCGCTCCTGGCCGAAACTCCAAATGCTTCCCCCCTCCTGGGGGAGCGGATTCAGCCGTGGCGGATCTGGCCATGTCCACGAAAATGCCCAAAGATGGCTAGATAACCTCGGTCCTCGATCAGCTGAGGGGAACCACAACTTCGGTGCTTTCTTTCTGAGGGGAAAAAACTCCCCCTGCAAAGGTACGATGAAGGAATCCATAACTAAGTGCCTGCGTAAACCATCTTACCGCCCGCCACAATTCTTTGATTGCACGAATGTCTTTATCGATCCATGGATTTGGCGCACGGTCGCCAAATCCATGGATCGGGGAAATGCCCTCCCCAAAATGCTGCCAGTGCCGCCTCGTTCGGCGGCGGAAATCCGCGATATCCCATGGAAACGGGACCCGTCGCTAATCCACGCCCCCGTGACCCCATGTTTGCGATCGCCTGACTGGCCGAAGCTCTCCAGGGCTGCTGCCCCCTGGAAGGGGGGGGGCAGGAAGCCGGCGCCTACAGAGGCCTGCGCGCCGCCCACCAGCACCTCCTGGAGCGTGGCGAGGGCCGTGGTGGCCACCTCTCGGCGGCGGCGCAGGGAGGGAGGGGAGGGGACCAGGGGGGGGGGGGGGCAGGGAGGGGGAGGGGGGGGGAGGAGGGAGGAGGAGGAGGAGGAGGAGGAGGAGGAGGAGGAGGAGGAGAGGAGGAGGAGGAGGAAGAAAAACAAAAAAAGAAGGAGGAGGAAAAGAAAAAAGGAGGAGGAGGAGAGGAAGAGGAGGAGAGGAGGAGGAGGAGGAGGAGGAGGGAAGGGAGGGAGGGAGGGAGGGGAGGGAGGGAGGGGAGGGAGGGAGGGAGGGGGGGGGGGGGAGGGCAGGGATGGGAGGGCTCGAGGAGCGTCGACGTGCTCCACCCGCCTCGGCGTCCGCCGCAGCCGGGCTCTGCCCTCCCCTCCTGCTCCTCCGCGTCCTCTTCCTCCCTGGGCGAGGGGCGGAGTCGCGCGCTCGTGCGCGGGCGGCGCGAGGACAGTCGAGGTACACGCAGGCGTTGCGGAGCAGGTGGGGAGGAGGGAGGGCGTCGGCGAGCTTCCTGGATAGTTGGGGCATCCTGGGGGTGGTAGCCTCGCGGCCACGGCCGGACGTGGCTCGAGCCGGCCCTTGTGGCCGTTCTGAGCGGATCATGGCCGGGGGTGGGGCGACGGGGGAAGGGAGCTGCCTTCGGAGCAGGCAGGGGGGCTTCTCGGAGATCGAGAAGGGGATCGACTACAACATTGATTCACCCCAGAATCGGCTTCTCATTCGAGTCTGCGGAAAAAGTATGTCGAGTGCTCCCGAGCAGAGGCCGATGGCCAGAGGTCTCCGAGAGGGCTCCGCAGAGGGCAGGGGGGCTTCCGAGAAGCCCCCCTGGGGTAGCGGGGCGACCTTCTGAAGAAGGCACGGCCACCCCCCTTCAGGGGTGCGTCCTGGCCAACGTCTCGACCTGCGCCCAACCGTGGTCAAGAGGGCCGTCGACGCGGCCGAAAACGAAAAGGCGGAGTGCGGCCAAGATCCTGCATGTCGAGCCTCCCTCGAAGATGTATGCGTCAACGGAGTCCTACAATGGGGACTCGGGCCAAGAAACACCCTCCTTGCCTCAAAGGGTGCCCTGGGTTTCCTGGGCTTCGATGGTCTTGCTATGGAACGCGTGACGTTCCCGCACCAGAAGGCAAGGGACGTCCTGGGGTCTCAGGGTTGGGTTTCTCGTGGAAGGTTTCTCGTGGCCGAGTCCCTGCTGCATAGTGGGAACAGGTGCTGGACTCGATGGCTCTGCCTGGGAGCCCGACGGGGCCTCCAGGACCCCGCTCCCTCAGGACCCACCCCAGCGCACGGAATGACCGCATCCCAGAAACAAATTCCGAGCACCCAGAGACGTACCGAAACAGTGTCGAACGAGTATGGCCTCCCAGGGCCCGACACGGGAACACCCTCCGGTTTCGGTATTCTCTTGGAGCTCGAGGTTCGCTCTGGTGATCAAGGCTAAGGTAGGTCGGAAAATCCGCCGACCCCTTGTGGGTCTCTAGGCATGTGACATTATCCCCCCCCCCCCCCCCATAATCCCCCCCCAAAGAACCCCAAACCGGCAACTCGCCCCCCCCCTTCGCCCAGCGCGACCCCGGACCGAACGCGTCACGGGGGAGCGGGGGGCCCCAAAACTGACCAAGAAGGCACCAAAACGCTCCCCAGACGGTCCCAGGGGGCCACGATTCGCCGAAATATCGCCCTGGACGCCCACGATGGCCTCCAGGCGGCCTCCGAAGCTGCCAAGACGCCCCAAGAGGCCCGTAAGATGGGCCTCGAGGGGGTCCTAAAAAACAAAACTCATCCCGTGCCCTTCGAAGAACAGCATTTTTCGCACGCTCGCCTATTCAGTTTTCACGACGTCCCAGACAGGCGAAGAAACCTTCAATATCGCCCCCAGACGGCCAGAGGGTCCAACAACAGCCCCCGAAGCCCCCAAGACAGCCCAAGAGGGCCCCCAGACCCCAGGGGGCACCTTTTCGAGCCTTCGGCCCCAAGACGCCCCCAGCCTGGCCCAAAAACAACCCAAGAGGCCCTGAGGGACCTCCAAGAGAACCTCGAAGGCCTCCAAGAAGCCCCCACGAAGCCCCCAAGAGGCCCCAAAACTTGGCCCAAGATGCCTCGAGGCGGCCTGATATGGCCTGCAGACAGGCCAAGATGCCACCAAAAGGCCACAAAAGAGCACCAAAAGGTACGGAAACAGCAACGAGGCAACAGGACCGATGTCGAGCGCCGTGTCATGATTCGGACAAGCCTCGTGAAATGCAGCTCTGGAGGCGCAGTAGTTTATATGGGGTCGGCGGATGTGGCGTAAGCCTATAGAATCCACGTCCGGAAGTGACGTGTTGCCGGAGGCAGGTCGCGGAGCGGAGCGGGAGCCCTAATGCAACGTATCCAATGTATCCAATGATTGCCCACGTATTGTATTGTGTTACATTATGATGTCTCCCCCTAATCCCCCCGGAGTCGCGCCACTTCCGTCGACCCAAAGGTGGAGGGCCCCTTGTGGGACCAAAAACCTGCAAAAACCGATAAGAATTCAGCAATTTCGGCCTCTTGGGCCTCTTGGGGCCCCAAGAAGGTTTCAAGACGGCCCAAAATCGCCCCAAGACAGCCCAAGCTGGCCTCAAGACGGCCCAAGATGGCCCTAAGAGGGCTCAGGAGGCCCCCAAAAAGGTCCAAGAGGCCCCCAAGAAGACTCCCGAGAGCGCCTCCGGAGGCCAAAATCTTTGATTTTCCTATAGTATTGGGACAATGTCAACGTTCTCGCCTTTTTCGGCTCTCGGAAGGCCATGACGGCCCAAGCGGCTTCCAAAAAGGCCCCCAAACGGCCCAAGAGGCCTCCAAGGGGGGCCCAGAACAGCCCAAGAGGGCCCCGAGACGGCCAAAAAAACCTCCAAGACGGCCCAAGAAGAATCCAAGACGGCCCCAGAGGACCCCAAGAGAGCCCCAAGGCGGCCGCGAGAGGCTTCCAAAGTGGCCTCCGAAGTGCCAGACGGCGAAAGAGCGCCCAAAGACGGCTCCAAGACGTCCCCAAGAGGCCCCCAGAGGCTCCAAAGAGGGCCCCAAACGGCCCAGGAGGGCCCCAAGACGGCTCAAAGAGGCCCCCAAGGCGGTCCAAAAAAAAACCTGAAACGGCCCAAGAGGACCCCAAGAGAACCCCAAGGCGGCCGCGAGAGGCCCCCAAGACGGCCTCCGAAGGAGCGGAACGGCGCAAAAACGCCCCAAGACGGCCCAAGATGCCCCCAAGAGGCCCCGAAGAGGCCCCCAAGAGGCCCCCAAGGAACTCCCCAAAAAAATCTAGAGGCCTCCAAGACATCCCCAAGAAGCCTCCAAGAGGCCTCAAAGAAGCCCCCATAAGGTCACACAACGACTGGAGCGTAATGATATTTCCCCCCCTGGGCGAACGACGGCGCAGCGCCAGCCAGGTGGAAGTTGGTCACGGCGGCGCGCATGATTAGAGCCGGCGCTGGAAGAGAAGATGGGGAGGGAGTATGAAAAGGAGGGGGGGAGAGGCCCCAAAGAAGCCCCCAAGAGGCCCAAAGAAGCTCCCAAGAGGCCTCCAGGAAGCCCCCAGGAGGCTCCCAAGAGGCCCCGCGACGACGTGACTGTACGTGCTCCGGACGTGCACCCCGCAAAGCGAGAGGAATTATAACATTCGCTATCTTTCATGGGCGGTAGATCTACCAAAACATCTGGCACTTCGACGTTCCCGATGCGTGGTTCCCCGGATCTCTCAACTCCTTCCCATCCCCCATCCCCGAGCAAGTTGCTGGCAGCCGGGGAGCCCCGAAACTAGCCTCCAGAGAACAAAATAGACGTGTGACAAATCGGCCACCTCGATTGTGTCCGATGCGAGGCTTATCTGGGTGAAAAGCCGCGCGTCGTGAGAAGCTCACGACGGAAGAACGCTTGCCCTTTTCGGCCTCTGGAGGTCCTCACCTGACCCCTGGACCGCCAACGAAGAGAAACACTATGTGGCTGCCCGCAGGTCGGGACCCCTTTCCGGGCAACAGAGCTTCATTATTAGAAAAAGAAAAAAAACCGCCACAACTACATACATTTGGCGCTCCGCACGGATTTCTTGGAACCGCGCTGGAACCCCCTCCCCGGCGTCGCGGAGCGCGCCAGGGGCGGCGCCAGAGGCGCCGCCAAGGGGGCCCAGCGCGGATCCACGAAATCCGCGCGGAGCGCCACAAACTTATGTTTGTGGCGTTTTTCTTTGAATTAGGCCATCTCACGGTGCCTGGCCCCGTGAGGGCCCCCAGAGACTGAACAAGATCTGAAGACGTACCTCTACCCCTCACGGTGAAAGGCCGCTGCCCCCCTCCTCCTCCTCCTCCTCCTCCTCCTCCTCCTCCTCCTCCTCCTCCTCCTCCTCCTCCTCCCCTCCTCCTCCTCCTCCTCCTCCTCCTCTCTCCTCCCCCTCCTCCTCCTCCTCCTCCTCCTCCTCCCCTCCTCCTCCTCCTCCTCCTCCTCCTCCTCCTCCTCCTCCTCCTCCTCCTCCTCCTCCTCCCCCTCTCTCCTCCTCCCCCTCTCTCCTCCTCCCCCTCTCTCCTCCTTTCTCCTCCTCCTCCTTCTCCTTTTCTCCGCCTCTGCGCGCCACCAAAAGAGGAGAATCTAATCGAGGATCGACAAGGGATGAGAAGCATCGAGGATCGAGGAGAGTCGAGGAGGGTCCAGGGGGATCGAGGAGGATCGAGGATCGAGGAGGGTCGAGGAGGGGAGGAGGAGCACCGAGGATCGAGGAGGGTCGACGGGCCCAGACATGATCTGGCGCCTCGATTTTGTTTTGAATGCTGGGCCTCCGTAGTCTTACCTCTGGCATGTTCCCCTGCAGGCGGATTTTGGGCGAAAAATTACCAGTACCCCGAAAAACTCCCAAGTAGTCTCAAGAATCGTCCCCAGACCATTTTTACACAATTTTTGAATGTTCCTCCTGTAGAGGGACAGGCCCGACTTAGTTCCAGGGCCGGCTGTTCCTCCTGAGCCGTCTTCTGACGGCCACGGAGTCCGCCGGCGACCCCCAGGAGGCCGAAGACGGCCCAAACCCGTTTCGCCCCGACTCTTTCGCTCTGCTCCCCCCTGCTCGCGCGCCGTCTGGCGCAAAGCTCGCTCGCTCGCTCGCCGGACGTCTCGGACCGAGAACCGAGTCGAGGGCGTGTGATGTCTGGGTCGCGCCTACCCTTAGATCGGGCCTGTCCCCCTACAGGGAAATTTTGGACGGAAAATTATATATATAGATATATATCAAAACAACTCAAACAATTATCCCAAAACGCTCCAAAATTGTCAGAAAATCGTCCCCAAATCATTTTTAAAAATATTTCTTAATATTCCCCCTGTGAGAGACAGGCCCGGCTCACGCCTAACACAGCCCCTTCGCGCGCCGAGGGAGGAGGCAGGTGCTCGAGGATCGACGAGGGAGGAGGATCGAGGACCGAGGAAGGTGGAGGGTCGAGCAACGAATCGAGGACGTCGGACGCCTGGGTCGACCCCCCCTCCTATCTTCGGAGGCGTCCACGAGAGGGGGTCGCAGATCCCGTGGCCCTTGCGCGGCCCAGGGGGGGCCAAGGGACGTGTTGAAATAAGGAGAGTGGTCACGGACCAGGTCATTCGCAGAAGGGCGAGCTGAGACACCAAACACTCAACATCGGCTCACAATCGGTCCCAAGACCCATCCTGGGGTCCAGACGCACCAGCTTTCCGAGCTGCGTCCCACCGTGGCGACGAGGGGCACCCTTAAGGCCAACTACCGGTGTCTGAAACGGCCCTCCGCTCAGTCATGTCCCCCCCCCTCCTGGTCATCACCCCCCTCTTGACCGCCCTAAACGTCTGCCGCGCAGCCCGACGCCTCGAAGCAGCTCGCCCCGCGCGCCGTGCGCGCCAGCCTCAGCGGAACGCCCTCCTCGGGCAGGGGCGGCACCGGCGGCGAAGGACGGGCCCTGATCGTCGTCGTTCGTGCCTTCGGACACTCCTGTCGGTTTACTTGGAGCACTCCGGCCGCACGCGTGCGCGGCTTCAAAGAAGCGAGTCCAGGTCAGAAGAAGCGTGCGTGGCAACCTTGGGTTGGAAGCGGCCTAAGAGAAGGCGAGTCCGGAGACTCCAGTGCGCAGCACTGCGGAGGTGGAGAAGGAAGGGGACGAGAGGGAGGAGAGGAGAGGGAGGCGGTGCTTTCCTGCGGGGGGCTTCTTCCAGCCTCGTGGTGCCTCCTTGCTGCTGCGCCTCGCTGGGAGCGTTCCGGGGGCGCCCGACTCGCCGCCATCGGCCGCAAAACCCGAGTAGAAGCCGAACGCCGCACCTCCTCGCGTCGCGAAAAATCGCGTCGGACGGTTGCTTGTCATTTTCGGCAGCTGGGGGCCTTTTCCTGAGCCCGAGGGCAGGTGAGAAGAAAGGGGAGGGGTGCCCTCGTTCCCGCGGCTAGTCAAGGAGAGGGTGAAGAGGGGGTGGGAAAGGAAATGGAGCAAGCTCCGTTGCAGCTGCGAGGGCTTGCGGATATGAAGCATGACGAGGGGTGATCCCGAGATCCCCCTGGGCCTGTGCCAGTCTGGCCCCCTCTGCTGCGCTCGAGGCGACACCACTCGACAGCTTCGAGAGAACCAGAACTGTCCATGCCAAGCAGCGACACTACACACAAATCCAGAAGCTCGGGGACGTCGAGGAGGAGGAGGAGGAGGAGAAAGAAGAGGAGGGAGGGGAGGCAGAGGAGGAGGGGGGGAGGACCGAGAATCGAGGTTCTGGACGCTACTGGGCCCCTTTGGCAAACATCTTTATAATTACCGCGTGGGGCATCCGCCTTTCCGGTACCGAATGCCCTTGCCGGCAACCCCTACCAATAACCGTGGGATTGCCGTTTCCCGCCGCCGCCTTGCCGGTTACCGCGGCCTTGCCGGTTAAAGGGTCCCTGCTGGTTGCCGTGGGTAGCTGGCTGGGGAGGCAGTGGAGACACGGGGGGAAGAAGAGCAAGAGGAGATGAAAACAAGAAAACAAAGCAAGGTCAGAGAAAACGAGACCACGACCCAGGGGCCGAGAAAACGAGGAAACAAACCAGGGTCGGAGAAAACGAGACGGCGACCCAGGGGCCGAGAAAACAAGGAAATGAACGAGGGTCGGAGAAAACAAGACCGCGACCCAGAGGCCGAAGAAAAAAGGAATCGAACCAGGATCGGAGAAAACGGGACAAGTACCAAAGGTCAGAGAACACGAGACAGCGACCCAGGGGCAGAAAAAGACGAGACCACTAACAAAGGTCTGAGAAAACGAGACCACGAGCCAGGGGCCGAGAATTAGAGAAAACGAGAGAGGGTCAGAGAAAACGAGACCACAACCCAGGGGCCAAGGAATCGAGAAAACGAGGCAAAGAAGCAGGGCCCGAGAAACGAGATCACGACCCAGGGGCCGAGAAATCGAGAAAACAAGAACGAAGCAGGGTCCGAGAAAACGAGACCACGACACGGGGGCAAAGAAACCGAGAAAACGAACCAGAGTCCGAGAACACGAGACCCAGACCACAACCCAGGAGCCAAGAAAAGGAGAAAACGAGAGAACGAATCGGGGTCCGAGAAAACAAACCACGACACAGGGGCCGAGAAACAAGAAAACAAACCAGACCAAGACCCAGGGGCCGAGAAAACGAGAAAACAAGGAAACGAACACGAGCCAAGGGCCGAGAAAACGAGAGCACGAGAAAACGACCCAGGCACGAGAAAACGAGACCACGACCCAAAAGCCAAAAAACAAGAACACGAGAAAACGAAACAACTAACCAGGGTCCTAGAAAACGAGACCAGGACCCAGGGCCGAAAACACGAGAAAACGAATAAGGGTCAGAGAAGACGAGGCCGAGAAAACAAGAAAACGAACCTGGGTCCGAGAAAACGAGACAACGATCCAGGGGCCGAGAAATCGAGAAAACGAGACAGGGTCCGAGAAAACGATACCACCACCACCACCACCACCACCACCACAATTCCTAATCCTCGTCGCCTTCGGCGCATCGTCGGGGGGGTCAAAGGGCGAGGAGGAGGAGGAGGGGAAAAAGGAGAAGGATAAGGAGACGGGGGAAAGGAAACGGAAAAGGAGGAGGAGGAGGGGAACTAGGAGGATGGAGGAGGAGGAGGGGGATGGAGGAATGGGAACGAGAACGGGGGGCAGAGGAGGAAGGAGGAAACTCGGGAATTGTTTCCGGACAAAGGCCGCCTCATGGAAGACCAGTGGCACTGCTGTTAGAGTCAGCCCGGGGGGGGGGGCAAACAAAACAACGACGACACTGAAACAAATTCTTACGTGGGCTTACTGGTAACCGGCTCTGCGAGGTTTACCGGCTGTTTGCGGCTTACCTGCTACTCGGGCTTGCCGGACAAACCAGGACTAGGAATGCTTGCCTTAGGTCGGGCGTGCCCTCCTACAGTTAAATATTGGAAAAAATTAAAACATACCCACATATGATGCCAAATATTGAAACATCGTCCCCAATGTATTTTCCCTACATCCAAAGTGGGGTTCTTGTTGTCTCTGGACACCTCCCGCGGGAACCTCACCTCACATCACCTCCCACCCCTCTCCCCTTTCACGCACCATCATCATCATCATCACCACTCATCGTCAGTACTCATCATCATATTGACCATCGTCACCATCATCATAATCATCACACTCACTCACACTCACACCATTATCATCATCACCAACAACAGCATCATTCGATGAATCGCCAACATTATCACATTCATCATCATCATCACCACCATCATCAATCAACATCACCACTCATCGTCATCATCGTCATCATCCTCATCATCGTCACAATCATGATTTCATGATCACGTAGTCACGCATCACCCACGCTCCTCCTCCTCCTCCTCATCATCATCATCACCCACTCACTCACTCACCCACTCACTCACTCATTCATCCACTCATCCCTTCGTCATCACTCACCTCCTAGCTTGAATATGGATGAAATCTCAAGCGGGAGCTTTATCTGTCAGTGAATTGTAAGGAAATCTCAGGCAAGAACCACCTCCGTATGGGCCCCGCGCTTCTTGTTGGTAATCCGAGCGGCGAAACGTGTAACTGTCGTCATTCTTGGGTTTCCAAGGCCTGATTTTGGAGGTAGTATCAAGCGGGAGTTTCGTCTGTGAGTGACTTGTAAAAAAATCTCAGGCGGGAGCCCCGTTCCCGTGGGTCCCGCACTTCATGTTGGTAATCCGAACGGGTCATCCGAAACGTGTAACTGTCTTCACTGTTGGGCTCCTCAGGCCTGAATTTGGGGGGAGTATTAAACGGGAGCCTCGTCTGTGAGTGAGTTGCGGGGAAGTCTCAGGCGCTGTGAATGAATTGTGAAGAAATCTTGGGCGGGAGCCCCCTCCCTATGGCTCCCGCCTGTCGGGCCAAAACTTAGGCCTCCAGCTCCCTGCGCGGCGACTCTGCGCCATGACGGGTCCCGCACTTCATGTTGGTAATCCGAGCGGGTCATCGGATTCCTGTGACTTTCGTCACTGCGAATACGGAGGAAGGGCTCCTCAGCTCCTGCGGCCAGAAAGCGGGGGAAGTAGAAGTATCAGGCGGGAGCTTCGTCTGTGAGCGCAGTGCGGGTAGCCTCGTCTGAGCTGGTCGTCGGCAAAATTGTTGTTGTCATGGGCCTGCGTGCCCATAAGGGCGACTGAGGTGCTGACGACGACGGCGACGAGACAGCGGCCGGGCGCAGGGGTAGCCCCTTGTGTCCGGGCCGGGGCTGGTAACCCGTCTTCGGCCGAATCGGGGGCAGGGGTAACCCCTTGTCTCCGGGCCGCCGGTGGTAACCCATCGGCGGCCGAATCGGGCGCAGGGGTAGCCCTTTGCGTCCGGGCTTGGGGGTGGTGACCCATCCTCAACCGAATCGGGGGCAGGGGTAACCCTTTGTCTGCGGGCTGGCGGTGGTAACCCATCGTCGGCCGAATCGGGGGCAGGGGTAACCCCTTGTCTCCGGGCTGGCGGTGATAACCCATCCTCGGCCGAATCGGGAGCAAAGGTAACCTCTTGTCTCCGGGCTGGCGGTGGTAACCCATCGTCGGCCGAATCGGGGGCAGGGGTAACCCCTTGTCTCCTGGCTGGCGGTGGTAACCCATCGTCGGCTGAATCGGGCGCACGGGGGAAACCCTTTTGCGTCCGGGCCGGGGGTGGTAACTCACCCTCGGCCGAATCGGGGGCAGGGGAATAACCCCTTGTCTCAGGGCAGAGGGGGGGCGAGAGGAGCGTGTTTGCCATGGCCAGGACAAAACGGATAAGGGCAAACTAAACAGATGATCATGTGGGGTCCTTCCGTCGGAATATTACTATTTTTGAATACTCCTCCAGGCCCGACCTAATGCTTGCCCCAAGCGGCAAACGGCAACTATAGAGATTCCTGTTCCGGGCCTCCCACGGGCGCCCTGACCGTCGCAGATGGCTTGACCTCGCAATTCCGGGGCCAAGACGAGCCTGGGCGTGGGCCCTGAGGCTGGGGAAGGCAAACCTTCGCAATAGTGCCGTGTTGCGATTAGCTCAGAATGCTTTCCGGAAGCTCCCTTCGGCGTGTGGAAAACGCTGTCGTCATCGTCGTCGTCGTCGCCAGCGGGGACCCCAGGGGAAGTCCCGCCTTCAGGGTCGGCGGCACCGGACGCAATGCCTTCGCAAAACTGCCGTGGAGCGATTCGCTCAGGATGCTTGCTGGGAGTTCCGGTGTTTCTAGTGTTAGGTGGGACGGGTCCTCCTACAGGCGGATTTTGGGCAACAAATGAAAACGCGTGTTAACACATACACAAAAATAATTAAACAAATGCAATAAACATCGCCCCCTGACTATATTTTGACTGTTTTTGAATACTCTTCCTGTAGAGGGACACGCCCGACTTAATTTTAGTGGCCCTCGCCCATCCGCTCTCGGCCGTGCCTCCCTGGCCGCCGCGGGGCAGCAAGAGAGCCTGGAGACCTTGAAGCGTAGCAAGGCGCCTGAGGAGAGGCTGCGGGAAGGCCCAGGAGGAGGCCGAAGAGGGGTGCTCAAAAAGGTGGCGGGCGCAAGCTTCGCATGCGCCTACGGTCTAGTCGAGCGCATTCGGCACGGACCTTTCGTGTAGAAGCACATGAGTGGCAAATCTAGAAGCCCCACGGGCAATACTGCGGGAGTCTGGACGAGAACTCGAAAAATGTTTAGATGCTGGCCCAGGAGGAGATAGGTACACAAAATAATGATAGAAGCTACATGATACCATTTCGTGGCTGTCAGGAACCTGTAGAAGTTGGGTGCGCTTGGGGTCGTTGTGAATAACTCTATTTTGCTTTCGCCGTGTCACGTGTCACGTGGCTGGCGACTAACAAACTACCCCGTTGTAGCGGAAGAGGGGAAGAGAACCTATATGAGAAACGAAGAACGAGAAACAACAGGAGGAGGGCTCGGAAGCTTGACAAATGCGGCGAGGGGCCAAAGCAAGGGGAGATCGGGAGCTCCACCCAACGTAAAATGCAACGTCGGGCGCACTCTCGAGTGCTTCTAGGCTCTATCGCAGAAGTCGCCTGGTTCGTTTCCACGTTGGTTTTGGCCTGTTTGTGGTGCTTGGCGCGTAGTTTACTTGGTCAAGCCCAAGCACTCCTCCAGCCCTTATGACCCCCTGCCACCTCCCAACGCACCTCCATCCTGATGTCAGATTGAAGCTGGCCCATGTTTGAAATGATTGCCGCAAACCTTCATGCGGGGGAACGGAGGAACTACAGGGCCGTCGGGATGACCCAGCTGTGGTAGTAGTAAGCGTCGCCCCTTCTGTCTTCTGCATCAGGTGCAGTCCCTTCCTTGCCGCTCCTGTCTTGTGCAGCAACTCTTGTTTCCTTCCTTGCCGCCCGTCTGCCTAGGGCAGCGGGCGCTCGTTCTCCTGCCTCCCTGGCCTCTTCCTGCCTTGGGCAGCGGGCGCCCTTCCCTCCTCTTCTTCCTCCTCAACCCCCTCCTCCCGGCTTCTGCGGCGGAGCCTCTTCCCTCCTTCTCTCTGACCGAGCGATACACATCGGCAAGGGGCATCGACCAAGCACTGGGTATCATCTTCACATCGCCGTTGAAAATGGTCGTTCCAAATGGGCTTTCCAAATAGTGTTTCACCGCTTCTAGCGACAAACGCGAGACGCAATGCGCCGCGAACAAAGATGTAAACACGTTCCCAAAGAGGGACATCATCACGGGAGACTGTGCCCTGCCGCCTCCCCACGCACCCTCTATACGGATGTCAAATCTAAATCCAACCTGGCCCATGTTTGAAGTGATTGCCGCTAACCCGTAGCCTTGAAGAACGTCATACCGGCAGAGCCGAGCGTCACATACTGGCAAGGGAACCTCGCGCCAAGCCGACCTGCAATATGCAAACTCGCGCAAAGATCTTAAATTGGGAGGCAACAGCATGGCACCAATAACTACCCTTGACAATTATTGTCCGAGTATCCGGCAGAGCCGAGCGTCACATACTGGCAAGGGAACCTCGCGCAGAGCCGACCTGCAATATGCAAACTCGCGCAGAAGATCTTAAATTGGGAGGCAACAACATGGCACCAACAACTACCCTTGACAATTATTGTCCGAATATTTCCGTGCATGGGGAGACCGTGCATGAGGAGAGGGAGAGGGAAAAGAAGGAGAACGAGGAGGACGAAACCGCGGCGATCCAATGACATGGTGCTGCCGAGAAAATGTTGCTGCCTGCTGTGAGCGCCGGCCTGGGCAGACAAATTCAGTAGATAGAGAGACTCTGGCATAAGGAACTACCCGTGACGATTATTGCCTGGGCAAGCGGTCGAGGAGCAGGAGGAGGAATGTGGCACATGAGCCGGGGACCTAAGCCATGAACCAGAAAACAAGCAATGGCCCTGGACTCGGGGACCAAAGAAGGCATAACCATACGAGCTCAACCGCCAAATTCTGCGGCGCCACGCCGGGAGCCAGGAGAGGCGAGGGGAGAGGTAGGAGGAGGAAGAGCGGTGCGAGTGACGAGGCGCTGGGATAGAGGCGCTCGCGCAGTGCCCTCGCCCACTCGCTCCCGTTCACCACCATGCTGGGTTCTCAGGGGAGTCGAGTTTGACGGGGAGGAGATGGGCAGGTGGCTTGTCTCCTGAACGTCCGCGAGTGTGCTTTTTGCTGCCTGGCCGCGGGCGCCCTGGCAGTCTCGCCCCATCCCTGAGCATCGTTTCACTGACCATTCTCCCCACCGGCGTGGCCATGGCCCCATTGGCCGATTTACCCTCATAGATGGGGATATAGGCTGCTTCCTTCGAGCTTCGAGGGGTATATCCTATATCCCAACTGGGGTGCTGAGGTCGTCGAGCTCGGGATGGGAATGGGGTAGGGGTCGCCTAAATGATACCGATTGGCGGCGAGCGGGGGGGGGGGGAGTGAGAAGGGGCGGGCCGTCTCAGAAGGCTCGAAGTCCTCCGCCCTTCCGAGAAGTTCTCCAAGCTTTCGAGACATCCTCGTCGTTATCCTCGAAAGGAAGAGGAGGAAGAGAAGGAGGAGGAGGAGGAGGAGGAGGAGGAGGAAGAGGAGGGTTGGGGAGGCTGCTCCACCGGCGGAGGAGGAGTAGGAGACAGAGGGGGAGAGGGAGGAGGAGGAGGAGGAGGAGGAGGTGAAGGATAAGAGGGAAGAGGAGTGGGAGAGGCAGCAGGAGATCCTCCTCCTCCTCCTCCTCCTCATGCTCCTCCTCCTCCTCTTCCTCCTCCTCCCCCCCTCCTCATCCATCGAGTCCTCGTCGAGGAGAGACGTCCTCCTCGTCCTGCTCGAAGGGAGGCCCTCCCCAGAGGAAGAGGAGGAGGTTCTCCTCGCCGTGGTCCTCCCCCTCGCCCCCGTCCTCCCCGCGGCAATCCGCCGCTCCTCGAGGAGCAGCGCCGCCACCGCCGCGTCGCGCGCGCACGCGCACAGCAGCCCCCCGCAGAGGAAGGCCAGCTCGCCGCTGCGGCAGCCGCGCAGCAGCAGGTCGGCCACCTTGTGCGGGCGCGCAGTGTCCTCCTCGTCGCCCTCCTCGTCTCTCCTGGCGCTTGTTGCCTGGGAGAGGTGGTTAGCGCCACCGGGAAGGTGGCACCAGGAGGACAGCAGCCTCCTGCTGCAGCCTGTGTTGCCGGGGGGCGTCGACCCACCCCGTCTGGCAGAGGGCGGGCGAGGCCCGCTCGCGTCACCTCGGCGGCGGCGCAGGCTGGCCGCGCCTCGGGCCGCCTAGCTCATCGCCCTCCGCGTCCTTCCTCGTCCTCCGCCTCGTCCTTGCTCCTCCTCCGCATCTGCCTCTGCCTCTGCCTCCTCCTCCTCCTCCTTCTCCTCCTCCTCCTCCTCCTCCTCCCCCTCCTCCGCCTCCTCCTCCCTCTCCTCCTCCTCCTCCTCCTCCTCCTCCTCCTCCACCTCCGCCTCCTCCTCCTCCTCCTCCTCCTCCTCCTCCTCCTCCTTCGGCTCCTCCGCCTCCTGTCCCAGGAAATCGCCCGCGCCTCGTCGTCCGCCTGGTCCTCCTCCCTCTCCTGCGCCGCCGCCGAGGTGGCCGCCGCCGCCGCCCTCGCCATGTGCTCCAGGAGCTGCAGTTGCGCGGCGCGCGGGCCTCCGTCGAGCAGGCGCCGGCCTCGCGCCCGCCCCGCCCTCCCCACACCCTTCCGAAGGGGAGCAGCCCTGGAGAGCTCCGGCCAGGAGTACACCACACGCAAGAGCGGCCCTGGGCACGAGTGGCCTCTGGTGCGCGGCATGAAGGGGCCGCGGGGAGGCCAACTCCAAGCGCGCAAGCCGATGATGGGGGGGACCCCTTCTGAACCCGCACGAACAGTCACTCTGGCGAAGGGAGGACCTCGGGAATCTACTGACCTGGGTCAATCCAAACCCAAGTCAATAGGGCTTGGCAAGATCCTGCAAACTACTGCAAAGTCCTGCAGAATTCTGCACCCAAACCCGGGTCAAGGCAGCCCTGGCAGTGCCGGATCCTGCAAGATCCGGCGCTCTCACTGACCCCCGTTTGCATTGAGCCCCGTCTCTTGATGAGGGGCAACGATACGGGGCAACGATACGGGGGATGCTTTGACCCAGAATCGGCGATACATCAACGATAGATCGGCGATAGACCTCTTATAGTGAGCCCGCACCTTCCTGGGCACGTTACGGCTATCGGGCCCCCATCGGCGATCAATGGGCGATTGGGGTCGATGCGTCCCCCCCTATGCCGATCCCCCCCTATCGTTGCCCCCGACTCTTGAGCTCCGAAGACCAAGTTTTCTGGTCACGCCGGGGAAGGTCCGGGCGAAGACGGACCCGGTGAAGACGGTCGCCCAGAAGTGGCGAAGCTCGAACTTCGCCCCGGCGTCTGCAGTGCCTCTCCTGGCGCTCGCGTGACGGTTCGACCAGGAGCAGGCACCTGGGGCGCACATTCCGCGCCCAGTGGTGCCAGGGGGCAACGACTGGGAGGTCTTCGTCGGAAGGATCAGGGGGGATTACGCCCCGTTGGTTCCCTGGCCTGCGCCTGATCAAAATATGTTCCCGATCTCCCCATCCATAGTCCACCCTGACCCGCTTGCCATCCTGGATATACGTTCGACTGTCACGGATGCCGGAATCGAGGGCCAAATTCTGGCGAGAACTCTTGAACCTCCTCCACCTCCTTCACTTCCTCCTCCTCCTCCTCCTCCTCCTCCTCCTCGTCCTCCACCTCCACCTCCTCCTCCTCCTCCTCCTCCTCCTCCTCCTCCTCCTCCTCCTCCTCCTCCTCCCCGTCCTCCCCGTCCTCCTGGTGCCAGGGTCGTCCACCAGGTGGCCGCACGCCACCCCAGCCCGCCCCGAGGACGCCCAGAGAGAGCCCCGGACGCGGCAGAAACTGTAGCCCCCAGACCTCGACGCCACACGGCTCCGAAACTGGTGCGAGTCGGGAGATCGCCAGACAGACCCGGAACGCCACACGAGCTGACCTGCCATGTGGGCATCGTTTAACTGACCCCTATCCCCGTGAACGTGGCCTGGGCCCCATTGGCCGATTGACCCCTGTATGTCTATATATATATATACATGTATAAATATAAATTTATGTATGTAGGCTGTTCCCTTCGGGTGATGAGGTGTGACTCCCCAACTGGGGTGCCAGGATACTGGAGAGCTGGATGGGGATGGGGATGGGGGTGAGGATCAGACAAACAATACCCACCATAGGCAAACCAGGGGATGTTTTGGATCGCGCTCTGATTCGACGAAGAGACGGTCAGCTTAGTGCGGCACTCACTAGCTGCTGGCGGAAACACGCGGTATCTAGCAGCACGGGCGCCAAGGTGTAGCAGCACCCCACCCGACCACACCCATACCTAACCCATACTACCTGGGGGGGGGGAGGGGAAGGGGGGAGTTCCGACTTTGCCTCGCCCTGCCCTCTCCAGAGCGACGGCAGGAGGCCGCGCACTCGCACGAGGGAGGCCCCGCCCCTACCCCCCTGCTCCCCCTGCTCCCGCTGCTGCTGCTGCTGCTGCTGCTGCTGCTGCTGCTGCTGCTTTTGCCTTCCACTGCGCTAACTGCTGCTGGAGGCACTCTGTGGACTCAGGGGGGCCTCAAACGGCGAGCGAGGGGTGGGGAAATGAATAGGAGAATGCCTCCTCAGCAGGCTCGGAAGTCCCCCGGCCTGCCGAGGCGTTTTCTGGGCCCTCCCCAAAGAGGCACAAAAAGCCTCTCCGCAGGCGCGAGGCCTTCTGGGGAGCTCCGCCGCCTTCGGAGAAGGCCTTCTCCTTCTCGCTCCCCTCCCTCCTACTCCTCCCCCCCATCCTCCTACTCACTCCTCCTCCTCACTCCTCCTCCTCCTCCTCCTCCTCCTCCTCCTCCTCCTCCTCCTCCCTCCTCCTCCTCCTCCTCCTCCTCCTCCTCCCTCCTCCTATTCCTCCTCCTCCTATTCCTCCTCCTCCTCCTCCTCCTCCTGCTCCTCCACCTGTTCCTCCTCCTACTCCTCCATCACCTGTTCCTCCTCCTCCTCCTCCTTCCTCCTCCTCCTCCTGCTCCTCCTCCTCCTCCTCCTCCTCCTCCTGCTCCTCCGCCTCCGCCTCCTCCGCCTCCTCCGCCTCCTCGCTTCCCCCCCTCGCTCGCCGCCGACTCCTTCCCCCCCTTGCTCGACCCTCGGAGCCCGAGGACCCGCAGCCTCGGCCCTCGGAGCGCCAGGGCCCAGGCCCCCGTGCAGGCGGCGAGCGGGCGCCGCCTCGGGCCGGCCGCGCAGGTAGTGGCACACCTGGCGGCCCGCGGCCGGGCCGCGCTGCGGCCCGGCGGCCAGCAGGTCCTCGGCGCGGGGGCGGCGCGGACGAGAACGGCGACGACGTCGTGCTCGTCGTTGTTTTGTTCGCGTGTGTGTGTGTGCGACTGGAAGAGAGAGAGAGAGAGAGAGAGAAAACAAAAAAAGGTGTGTGCGTGTGCGTGTGTGACATGTAAGACAGAAAATGAAGGAGTGCGTGTGTGTGTGTGTGTGTGTGCGACCCAGACAGCGCCGCCAAAGAGAGCGTGTGCGTGTGTGTGTGACCGTGTGTGTGTGTGTGTGTGGCTGTTTGTTTCTGTGTGTGTGTGTGTGTGTGTGTGTCTGCGCGCGTCTGCACGGATGTCTGGAACTTAATTGGATCGCCCGCGTCCCCGCTCGATCTTGGCAACCGCTGACTGGACTCCTTAACGCGTTGGAGGAACACATGTATTTGTGTTTGTGTTTCGTCGTCCTACACTCCTGCGCATGTTGTTCGGCAAGACGTGGCTGCACGCGGCCTATGGCATGCTTGCTGCAGCCTGGACTCTCGTCTGGCCCACCTTCCACCCACTCCGCGAAGTCCTACCAGGCGACTCACGCTTCTGGCACAGGACGATGCAAACGTGCCTCGCTGTCCGTCTGCAACTTCGACGGCAAGGTCCACGTGCTCCTCTAATTGAGGGGAACGAAGAATGACATAAACATGACAACTCGGAGGTCCGTGCGGATTCCTCGGATCGGCGCTGGACCACCCTCCCTGGCGCGCGGAGCGCGCCAGGGACGGCGCCCGAGGCGCCGCCAGGGGGTCCAGCGCAGGCGGTCCAGGAAATCCGCGCAGACTTCCGAGTTGTTATGTTTGTGTCATTCTTCGCTCCCTGGACGACAGCACTCCCGGGAGCGGCCCGAACACCCGGGCCCCTCCTGAGCCCACAGCGGTCCTTCTTCTAGCGTCTCGGCTGCCCTTCTTCGTTCCCCCTCGACCTGCTGCGCGCCGCCCGCAGTGCCCTTCGCGGCCGCCGCGCGGGCCTGGAGGCAGCTCGCCTCGGGCCAGAGGCCGAGGGCGAGAGCCGGGGCGCCGCCCGAGCGCCGAGGGCGCACGGGGGAGGAGGAGGGGGGAGGAGGGGGGAGGAGGAGGGGGGAGGAGGGGGGGAGGAGGAGGAGGACGAAGGGAGGAGGAGGAGGAGGAGTGAGTAGGAGGAGGAGGCCGCCTGCGCGCCCTTCGCCCGCCACCTCTCGGCGGTCGGGCCTCTCCCTCCGCTCTCCTCCGAGGCCGCTCTCCTCCGCGGCGCGCCCCGCCAGACTCGCCCCCCGCGCCCGCGACCGCCGGCGCCACCGATTAGAAAGCGTGTCTCGTCATCCTCCTCTCCGCATCTTCTCCTCCTCCTCCTCCTCCTCCCCCCTCCCCTCCCCCTCCTCCTCTTCCTCCTCCTCCTTCTCCTCCTCCGCCCTCCTCCGCCTCCTCCTCCTCCTCCTCCTCCTCCTCGTGGTGTTCCTCCTCCTCCTCCTCCTCCTCCCCATCCCTCCCTCCACCCATCCCCTTCCTCCTGCCCCTGCTCCCCTACCTCCTTCCTCCTCGTTCTCCTCGTCATCCTACTCCTTATGCACCTCCGTCCTCTTCATCCTCCTAGTCCTCCACTTCCTCGTCGTCCTCGTCGTCCTCCTCCTCCCTCCTCCTCCTCCTCCTCCTCCTCCTCCTCCTCCTCCCCATCCCTCATTCCACCCATCCCCCTCCTCCTGCCCCTGCTCCCCCACCTCCTTCCTCCATTTTAGTCTCGTCATCCTACTTGAAATTCACTTTCCTCCTCTTCATCCTTCTCGTCCTCCACTTCCTCGTCCTCTTTCTGCTGCTCCACCGTGTTCCTCTTCCATCGGAGAACAGTTCACTTTTGTCTGTTCGCTCGCTCAGAGGTGTCCTTGCAAGGCGGAGCGAAAGAGAAGAATGGACATCAGGAACAGACAATGCGAAGGTCCCATTATCTCGGGTGCGCGTGTCAGCGAATTTCAAATTCCACGATGCCAACTCCTCCTCCTTCCTCATCCTCTTCCTTCTCCTTCTCCTCGTCCTCGTGTTGAGGCTGCTACACGCCAACGTCTCACGACAGAGACGCATGCGCCTGGCGCGCACTCTGCTGGCTGGTCTGCCTGGCGCGAGAAGCGCGCCACGGGCGGCGCTGGCGGCGCCACCCCGGGCGGCCAACGCCGATCCAGGAACCCGTGCGGACCTCCGAAAGCTTGTCAATATGACGACTGTTATTCTTCGGAAGGGGGGAGAGGAGGAGGCGGCATTGCTGCTTACCTCGAGGTCGGCGCGAAGAAGACAGGGATAGCGAAGAAGGGGGACAATGTGCCCTCATGCCCGCGGCAACAGCCGCCGGCCCATGGAGCCCCGCGCCGCTGCGAAGCAGCCCAATCCTCTCACCACAAAATAACGTCCCCCACCCTCTCCCCGACATGTGCGATGTCTGTGCCCTCCTACTCCCTGATCACCTCGCGCTGTGAACAAAAAACAAGACGGACCCTCACTGGGCCTGGGAACCGTCAACAATCAACTCGGGATGAGAACCCAGTCTCCAGACAGGGGTCCCCTCACTCCTCCTCCTCCTCCTCCTCCTCCTCCTCCTCCGCCTCCTCCACCTGCTCTACCTCCTCCTCCTCCCCATTTTCTTCTTCCTCCTCCTCTTCCTCCGCCTCCTCCTCCTCGTTCTCGTTCTCCTCCTCCTCCTCCTCCTCCTCCTCCTCTTCTCCCTACCCTCCTCCCTCCTCAGACCTCCGACTGTGTGCTTTTTGTTCATAACGTCGCTCCCCAGAGGTCTGGAGCTCTTCCTCGGAACAAGCTCTTCATCCCTGGCCGTTGTTGACGATCCAAGTGAGGGCCCCCAGAGGCAGACAACTACAAAACAATCAACAAACAAAAGAACAGCTGCCGGGCGTTTTCCCTTCCCCCCTTCCTCCCTCGGATCCACGCAGGAGTGACCCTGGGCAAGTCGTGACCTCTGGTGCGCAGCTTTCGGGGCCTGCAGGGTGGTCAAGTCCAAGCGCGCAGGCCAATGGTGGGGGGACCCCCTGGTGGACCTGCACTCGAGGTCACGCTGGCGAAGGGTACCGTGCTTGTGTAAGCGAAGAGGTCTGGCTTTCGAATCATAGCTCGGGTCTTCGCCAACCGTACGATCCGGGCTTCCCCCGGATCGTTCTCGGCAAGGCGCAGCGGCAACAAAGCAGCCCGATGCTGGAAGACCGCCGGGTACCAACATGAACGTCCGAAAACCTTGAACGACGACTCGGCTACAGTCAACATACGTGCATGAAGGACGAGTGGCAAGGACGCAAAACCTTGGAGGCCAACGGTAGGATTTTTGCTTGGGGCGGCGAGCGACCAGCGAAGACGGCGAAGGACGGGCCACAGAGGTAAGTACACCGGGGCACCCTAGATGAAGGAGCGCGTCCTTACTAGGCTTGAGTCCGGCGTGTCCCCCTACAGGCGGATTTTGGGCGAAAGATAAAAACATACACAAACAATGCCCCGCAAACACTGAAAAATAGTCAAGGAATCGTCCCCATACTATTTTTTTACTATTTGTGAATATTCCCCCTGTAGAGGGAGAAGCCCGACTTAATACTAGGCCTGTTGGCCGCACGCTCGAGGAGTGGCCCTGGGCAAGAACGACATCTGGTGCGCGGCGCTGGGGGGGGCCGCGCAGGGGCCAAGCCTCGGCGCGCAGGCTGATGTTAGGTCGGGCATGTCCCCCTACAGGCGCATGGTTGGAAGAGAAGCAACAACTAGTCAAACAATGCTCAGGCATACTCAGAAATTGTAGTAAAATCGTCCCCCGACCGGATTTAGACTATTTTGAGCAATCCTCCAAGAGAGGGACACGCCCGACTTAAAAGCTCATGCTGGGGGGCCTCCGTGGGCCCGCACCGAAAATCCCTGTTGGCGCATCGCAGAAGACGGCACGAAGCCGGCGACCCCCCAGACTTTTTTGACGTCGGCGGCTGCTCCGAGATTCTTGATAAGCGTCAGGGGGGCGTCACCCCCGCCGACAGCCCCACGTCGACCCCCGTCGCGGGCAGCCACCGCGCGCCGAAGGCGCTCCGACCTCCGTCGCGGCGCGACGACAAGGCGAGGTTGACCCCCGTCGGGGGGGTACCCAACACGCTAATTAAGAAACTCTGAGTAGGCAGAGTAACTGTGCTGGCGGAAGAGCAATCAAAACGGGGAGACGGTTCAAGCGAGTTGTGCCACAATGCAGGGAAATGGAAGGAGACAGGGAGAGCGGCCGAAGGTGGCTAGTTAATCCCCCCAGACATGCGATGCCTGGATCTTTTTTCTCATACGCACCTCCCCGGAAATCCCAACCCTTTCCCCTGGGCCGGTTTTTCATCCTGAGTCGCTTCTGGACGGTCCTGGGGCCCCCAGAGGCCGAAAACTGCAAAACAAACGTCCTGAGTTTATCACGAGTGGTACTTGAACCAGGGCGGGAGGTCTTTAGCCACGCATGCCTTCGCCGACCTTGTCGTGAAAAAGAACATCGACGCGAGCATGTCTTGGCCCACGCCTCCGCGCAAGGCCCCCGGCGCCGGGCCGTCCTCCGCGAGCCTCGCAGCGGCCTTCCTCTCCTCGAACTCGAGGGCGCCCAGCGCCGCCAGCAGCAGCGCGGGGAGGTCCGCTGCCAGGAGCCGCGCCAGCAGCAGCGGCGGCGGCCCCGGGACGGCGGGGGCCTCGAGCAAAACCGGAGGGGGGGGGGGCAGCGGGGGAGGCAGGGGGGAGAGGGCGAGGGGCGAGGGGGGGGCAGAGGGGAGGAGGAGCGAGGAGGAGAGGAGGGGGGGGGGGGGGGCGGGAACCTCGAGCCGAACGGGGGGGGGAGGAGGCGAAGAGGGAGCGCGAGATGGAGGGGGGAGGAAAAGAATGCGGCAGGGGCTGGGCGCCGAAGGCGGGCACGGCCAGGATAGGAAAAAGAATGGGGAGGGAAAGTGGACGGAGAAGGAGAAGGAGGGGAGGATCGCCAAATAGAAGGAGAAGGACGAGGAGAAGGAAAAGAAGGAGGAGAAGGAGAAAGAGGATGAGATGAAGAAGGAGGGGGGAGAGGAGGAGAAGCATCGCCAAGTACACAATCGGCTGAGAAGGGTACTTCAACACATCTTTACAACTTAGAGGTTTCGAATGGTCCGCCGTCCAAACGCACGGCGCAGGGTGGAATTCCCAACCATGTATCGGCAGCGCGCCACATTCTTGAAATTGCGACTACGGCCGAACCCTTGCCACAAGGGGTCTACGTACGGGGCCATGGGGAAGGCGTTCGCGATCCACGTCCGCACTGTAGTACCACAGCGGCACCTAAGCCCCCCTTCGGCACATGAAGCGCCGCGCGATGCCGTTTCGCACCCTCCGAACACAAAGGGGCAAGGACCGTGAGGCGGAAATGTAGGCCCCGCCTCCCTCAGGGTTTCGTGGCACTGGGTGGATGCTGACCAGGCGCTGGTGGCGCAACCATATTTGGGCGACAGGTCCGGCGGTGCCCAGCCCCGATTTGGCAAACTGAAGGTCGGCCACGGCGCGCATGGGTGTTGCCTCCTTTCCCTCTTCCTCCTCCTCCTCCTCCTCCTCCGCCTCCTCCTCCTCCTCCTTCTCCTCCGCCTCCTCCTCCTCCTCCACCTCCACTTGAGACCCTGAGACCCTGACGGCTGCAGTGTCTCCAGACGTAGCCATTGCCCCCGCCTGGTGGCGCCGCCTGGCGCACCAACGGGGGCAATTTCTAAAATGAGCTGATCTCCGCGCTGGCGGGAGGGGCTGGCGAGGGACGAAATGCCAGACAGAAGAGGGCGACACGGGCTCGAACGCACGGACCGACGCACGACGAAAGGAGGCGGGAGGACGGAGGAAATGGACCCCCCCAAGCAAAGAAAGGCCAACATACCCTCCCCCCTGGGGAAAGCGGGGGGAGGGGACGAGAGGGAGACAGGACGGGGGGGGAAGGGGAAGGGAAACAAAAACAGAAAAATGGCCGTTCCGCGCACGATGGTTTGCCCCTTTGGCGCGCGCGGGGCTCCCCACGCCACCCCGTCTCACCACCTCCCCCTCGAAGATGGTGTTCTGGTCGACGAACCTGTACTCCAGGTGCGGGGCCTAGCTGAGATGAGCGTCGGCTTCCTCTGAAGTGCTGGTGTCGGCGTGGCGCGGGGCGTCGTGGATGGGCGTGGCAGTGGGTGGGCGCCGCGGGGGCGAGCGTGAGTTCACCCTGGGTACATGTCGCTGTCTGCGCTGGTTATGGTTGCGAGGGCGCGAGGGCACTGCTGGGCATGCCGCGCAGCCACTGTGGAACCCTGAAACCCGCCACTGCGTGGGCGGCCTCATCCTCGCCTCGGGGAGCCATAAGCCGCGCGGCCCGAGGAAGAGGGCGGGCGGGGAGGTGCTGCTGGTCGCTGGGTGGGGCGTCTGGTGAGGGGCGGAGTGGGGCGCCGCCATGGTGCTGCTGTCCGCCGCGCCTGGTGCCGCTGCGCTGGGTCCGTCGTGCTACTCACCATGGTGCTGTTGTACTCCGCCATACTGCTCACGATCGTGCTGCTGGAGTTCGTCGTGCTGCTCACGGTGCTGCCGCTGGAGTCCGTCATGGTTGTGCTGCTGGAGTTCCTCGCGCTTCTCAAGATGGCGTTGCTGGCGCCCGTCGTTGATGGTGCTGCTGGGGTCCGTCCTGCTGCTCACGGTCGTGCTGGTGGAGTCCGTACCGCTGCTCAAGACGGTGCTGGTGCGGTCCATCATTCGGCTCACACCTGTGCTGCTGGAGTCCGTCCTGCTGCTCACAGTCGTGCTGCTGGAGTCCGCAGTGCTGCTTCCAATGGCGCTGCTGGAGTCCGCAGCGCTGTTGACGGTCGCGCTGCTGGAGTCCAAGGTGCTACCCCCGATGGTGGTGCTGGGGTCCGCCATGCTGCTTACATGACGCTGCTGGGGCTACTCGTGCTGCTCATGCTTGTGATGCTGGAGTCCGTCATGATGCACGCGATCGTGGTGCTGGAGTCTGTCGTGCTGCTTCATATGCTGCTGGTGGATTCCGTCATGCTGCTCACGGTCATGCTGCTGGAGTCCGTCGTGTTTCTCATGAACGCGCTTCCGGGATCCGTCGTGCGATATTGCTGCCTGCTGGGGTCCGTATTGCTGCCCCTGGTCGTGTTGCTGGAGCCCGTCGTGCTGCTCACGATGGCACTGCTGAAATGCGCCTGCTTTTAACGGTCGCGCTGCTGGAATACGTGATGCTGCTCACGATGGCGTTGCTGGAGTCCGCCGTGCTGCCTACAAACGTGGTGTTGGTCTCCGTCGTGCTGCTCACGGTGGTGGTAATGCTGCACGCGGTCGTGTTGCTGGAAGCCGTCGTGCTGCTCGCGATGCTGCCGCTGTATTCCGTCATGATGCTCGCGGCCGTGCCGCTGGAGTCCATTGAGATGATCACGATGATGCAGCTGGCACCCGTCATTGCTGCTCACGATGGTGCAGCTGAAATCCGTCCTGCTGCTCCCGGTCGCGCTTGTGCAAGGCTTGTGGGGCCCGTAGTTCTGCTCCTGGTGCCGCTGCTGGAAGCCGCAATGCTGCTAATAGTCGGGTTGAAGGGATCCGTCGTGCTGTTCGCGGACGCGTTGCTGGGGACTGTCGCGCTGCTCACGATTGTGCTGCTGGGGTCCGCAATGCTGCTGGCGGTCGTACTGCTGGAGTCCGTAGTGCTGCTCGCGATGATGTTGTTGGAAGCCGTCGCGCTGCTCAGAGCAGTGCTGCTGGTGTCCGCACTTCTACTCAAGGTCGTGCTGCTGGAGTCCGTAGCGCTGCTAAAAAAGGTGCTGCTGGGGGGCGTCGTGCTGCTCGCGACGCTGACGCTGGAGTCCGTCATGCTGCTCGCGGTCGTGCTGCTGGAATCCGTCGTGCTGCTCACGATGGTGCTGTTGGCGCCAATCATGCTGCTCCCAATGGTGCTGCTGCAATCCGTCATGTTGCTCGCTGTCGCGCTGATGGAGTCCGTCGTGCTGCTCACGATGGTGTTTTTGGCGCCAGCCATGCATCTCCCAATGCTGCTGCTGGAGTCCGTGCTGCTGATCGCTGTCGTGCTGCTGAACTCCTTCGTGTTGCTGCCGATGCTGCTGCTGCGTCCGTCGGCGTGGAGCGCCAGGAGCAACCAGTCGTGCCCGACTTGGAGGCCATCCAGGCGTTGATGCTATGGGAGATGCTGGTGATCGTGATGTGTAGATGACTCAGGTGCTGGCCCACGACGCTGGTGGTCGTGCAGTTTGAGTCGACGAAGCGCACCTGCGAAGACGCGTGTAGACGACTCAGGTGGCCGGCGAAGCGCACCTGCTGGAGTCGTGCAGTTTGCTGCTGGCCGCGTAGGAAGGCTGGCTTCGGTGCTGTAGTGAAGGCTGGTGCGGGTGTCGAGGCTGGCGTAGGTGCTGGCGCCGATGCTGGTGTTCGTGGTGACGTAGACGCTGGCTCTGATGCTATAGAATTTGCCGCGTTGGGTGAGAGCGTCGGTGCTGGTGTTGATACCAGCGCCGATGTTGGAATCGATGCCAAGGTCGGAATTGGTGCCGCTGTTGAGGCCAGTTTTGGATGGAGTGGGCCTAAACGGCGTTGTTGCAGTTGCCCAGCAAGGGCACGAATCCCTCGCGCCAGGTCCAACGCACGTTTGGACAGGTGCGGGCAAGGCCGCAACTGTTCAGGCACCTTCAGATGCCTGCCGTGGGGCAACGGCTGAGGGGGAGCGGCGCAGAGCGACCCCGCCTGGCCCCCGCGCCCCTTCCGTCTGCGATGCCAACGCCCCCCACCCCACCCCGTTCGAAACTCCTTTGCCTCGGCAACTGAAAGTTTCCGCGTCGGGCCCCGCTTTGGAAACGCGGTGCCGTCGTCGAAACCATGCATCCCCCCGAATCGTCGTGGGCTTCACAATCTGATTTCCTGTGGCCTGATCGGCGCGGCCCCTAAGACCGCCACAAGAGGCCTCCGAGAGGGCCCCAAAACTGCCCAAGAGGGCCCCAAGACGGCCTACGAGGCGCCCGAAACGGCCCCCAAAGTGGGTCCAAGAGAGGGAGCACTAACCTAAATTCCGAGCCTTCGGCCCAAGAGGCGGGCCTCTTGGGGCTTCCTGGGAGCTTCTGGGCTGCGGGGGTGAAGGGACTAGGCTGCCTTTGGCCGTCTTTGGGCTCTCTTGGGGGCCTTTTGGGGCCCTCTTGGGGCCGTCCTGGCGCCGTCTTGGGCCGTCTTGGCGTCTCTTGGGCCGTCTTGGCGCCCTCTTGGGCCGTTTTGGGGCCTTCTTGGGGGCCTCTTGGGCCTTCTTGGGGCGCTCTTGGGGGCCTCTGGGACAGTCTTGGACGCCTCTTGGCCCGTCTTGGCGCCCTCTTGGGCTATTTTGGGGGCCTCTTGGGAACATCTTGGGCCGTCTTGGGGCGGTCTTGGGGGCCTCTTGGACCGTCTTCAACGCCATGGAAGGCGAAAAGCCGTTTATGCTAAAAATGCATGTTTTCCTTTAGAAAATCAATGATTTTGGCCTCTTGGGGCCCTCTTGGGACGCCTCGTGGGCGCCTCCCGGGGCGTCGTGGAGGCCTCGTGGGGCCGCCTTGGGCGGTCTTGGGCTCTCTTGGAGCGCTCTTGGGCCGTCTTGGGCACTTCTCGGGCCGTCTTGGGCCGTCTTGGGCGCCGTCTTAGCCGCTTCTTGGGCTGTCTTAGGCGCCTAAGACGGCCCAAG